ATGCAGCGTTAAAAGTAGACACCAGGAAGCAGACCCTACTAACAGAGCAGATTATAGAATGAGAAAAACACTTACCTAACAGGCAGCGCTATCATGCCGATCCGTAACCAACACCACGTGCCCAGTCTGCTGCCAGGGGCTGTAACAACACGCTCTGTCACCTGTAGTACTGCGCACCTGCCCCCTAAATACAGTCTACACAGACTCATTCAGCACTATCAAATCATTAAAACAATGCTGAATGGTATTTCCATTTAGTATAAGGTATAATGAATAGGAGAATTAAAATATAGGGAAAGCCAAGGCCGTTACAGTTACAGCACGGACAATTTTACCAGTGCATTGACAAGCAGGCGCCAATGCTGTTTATTAGCATGTGTTCTAAGGAAACTGTGACAGGTTTTAAAGAAAAACTCAAATATTCTAATCATTAGCCAACCATGAGATGTACCAATTTATCCCAAGTAATGCACCCATTATCATCCTCCCCCCCCCCCCCGGGTTGCACGCCCATCATTCCTCTCCCCTGGCACGGCACACAGCGCGCCCATCATTCCTCTCCCCTGGCATGCCCTTTATTTTTTTTCCCCTTGCATTATAAACTGGAAATGTTCGCCAGTTGGCTCCGGCACTCCTCGATGCTGGTTTCAAAAACATGGGGGGCATACAGAAACTTTGCCATTAGTCATCGATTTCTAAGCACCTCAGCTGGGAACAATATTTGGGGCAAGAATCTAGCTGACATTCAGCAAGCGGGGAAAACCTGTATCTCCTAATGGGAATAGATGCTATAGATCGTCTGGTATTTTCCATTTTATCCACCTCCATAATGCTGACAAATCATTTCATGTGCCCCTTCCTTAACTCCACAAATATGAAAAAAAAATACACATAAGCTGACTTGAGAATAATACAGGCTCCTTATTATTATTATTTATAAAGCGCCAACAAATTCTGCAGCGCTGTACAATGGGGCTTACAGAAATGGTATCTCACGGGTGAAAACCTAAGACGGATGCATTTAATTGGTTTTCATAGTAATTGACACCAAAAGTTTTCAAATAGGACAATATCTCCATTAAAGGGAGACTCCAGGCACCCAGTTCACTTCTGCCCATTTGAGCGGTCTGGGTGCCAACTCCCATCACCCTTAACCCTGCAAGTGTAATTATTGCAGTTTTTATAAACTGTAATCATTAACTTGCAGGGATAACTCCTCCCTCCTCTAGTGGCTGTCTGTCCCATTGACATTAAGTGAGGCAGTCTGTGTTGGTGTGACGCTAGGATATTGGACACTGAGCCACAGAATTATAAAGCCTAGGGTTAGCTAGAGATAGCCAGAATTACAAGAACGGGGTATCTATATCAGCCCAGAACACAAAGGAACTGGAAACAAGAACACAGATAAAGTTAAGAGCTAATTTTGTGCATTCTGCCTAATATCCAATAATATCACCGTGAGACACATCTTGTAAATCGCCATTCCTCTGTTTGTTATTAAACGAGAGAAAGGGGTTACCTCTAAATTTATCAGAGAAAAGACATTGTGTGCAAACTGAGCTCTTGCCTTTCAGCTTGTTTAATGTCCTGTATCCCCAGTGCCATGGCTTTAATCTGCAGAGAGCCTTTCTAATGCCTTAAGAATAGGTTTCAGATGCCAATTTAACATATTGTAAATCAAGTTCTAATCTGAAATCATGACAAGTTTCTGTAACCATAGTTACAATGATCGGCATTGATACTTACATTTCGAGCTGCGTCCTGATTGGCTCTCTGTCGGCGCAGGTCTGCTTTAATAAATGCTGCAGGAAGAATAAGGCAGTTATGGTAAATCTCAGAGGTGGGGGAGACAGGACAAAGCTGACGATTAAGGAACATTCTGTACAACAACATTCCTTCGATAACTAGGAATGCTGATAATTTAGTATATTTTCTCACTGATTAGAAATAGGTTTATCAGCCACTAAAATACCACAATTAATTATCTGTTAGTAACACCACTATTATTACAATAACAGTTTCTATGACCATCAATTAGAAATACTATAATTATATTATCCAATAAAATGTAAATATTTTTCATCCATCAGAAATGTGCTTTAAATAAATCCTATGAACAGCAATAGGTTAGTAAACAAGGTGAATTATCTTCCCATCTATAAAAAGGTAAACACTGCGCAGGTCTGTTAGAGAACGCCAAAGCCCCCACTATACCTGTAATCACTGCGCCAACCAGTAAAAAGCTACACAGGAACAGATTTCCAGGAATAACCCCAAATGACTCCAGGATCTGTCCTTGGATCATCGTGAAGATCAGACCAAACACCTGGGGAACAAGAATACATCAATATACACGCACACACACCGTGTCACCAAACAGAACACACACACACCGTGTCACCAAACAGAATATACACACACACACACACACACACCGTGTCTCCAAACAGAATACACACACCGTGTCACCAAACAGAACATACACACACACACACAACCCGTCACCAAACAGAATATACACACACACACACACCCCGTCACCAAACAGAACATACACACACACCCCGTGTCTCCAAACAGAACATACACACACACCCCGTGTCTCCAAACAGAACATACACACACACCCCGTGTCACCAAACAGAACACACACACACACCGTGTCACCAAACAGAACACACACACACACCCGTCACCAAACAGAACACACACACACACCGTGTCACCAAACAGAACACACACACACCCCGTGTCAAACAGAATATACACACACACACACGTGTCACCAAACAGAACATACACACACACACCCCGTCACCAAACAGAATATACACACACACACCCTGTGACCAAACAGAATATACACACACACACACACCGTGTCACCAAACAGAACACACACACACCCCGTGTCACCAAACAGAACACACACACACCCCGTGTCACCAAACAGAACACACACACACCCCGTGTCACCAAACAGAATATACACACACACACAATGTCACCAAACAGAATATACAAACACACACACAGATTGTCACCGAACAGAATATTCATAGTATGTGACAGAACCAGTGTATAAGTTGCATGTTGTAGAACATTTAACATGTGCCTCTGTACAGTGTATATCAGCTGCTAGAACATGGAATCGGACAGATGCAAAATGTATTGTCCAAGACACAGCTTCCAGTGAATGAGCCCAGATTATGAAACAGTGCAGGTAGCAGAGCCCTAATTCTAGCAGGGACTCGCTCTCCGCTGGATCACCCAAGAGTAAAATCAGGAATAAGAAAACACCAAGTAGATATCCCACCTCCTCCCCAGCAACTGACACAGTTCTGGGAGTACAACGGGTTTTATTCCTGCCACACACGGCTTTTATACATTGCCCCTAGCATGGCGTGTCTTAGTCACAATTACAGCGCTTTTCATCCCAAGATCCTCTGTGCCTGAAAGATAACTGCGTGAGAAAAAAAAACTATAACAAGTATCTCTCAGGTACAGAAAAATCAAAAATATTTAAAATAATCCAAAAATCACTTTGAATAACTCCAGAACCCCACGAAAGTCATATCACTGAATAGCTTGGATCTCAGCGCACACTTTGCCAAAATATCACTCAGATCCCTTCAATGGGTCGCCATTCGAATTAAGCTTTCACGGGTCGGCCACGAGTTGATCTTTCAGGGGTCTCACGGACACTGGTGAATCCATTCCCTGGCTGTTAGGATACGAATGCTACCCCTGTTCCCAAATGCCATTCTTTTAACTGTTCGGGAAATTGCATGGGCAGCAGTTCCAGTTTCACGAGCGTTCGCAGGGTCGTGTATCCAAAAACAGTTCCACGCCATTGACGACCATGTACCACTGCCCTCGTTTGGGAGACAAAATGGCCGCCATTTGTTTGAACGTGCGTTTGGTTATACGAAGGGCGGCCACCCAGGGGAAACACTTGAAATAATAACCAATTTGTGGTTAACAGCCAGGGGTGGTCGGTGATTCTGAAGGTGCGAACAAGGGACCACACAGAGAGTGGGTTCGGTAAACGAACAGGGCATTACGGGGCATACGGACAGCCGAACAAAAGGGAATAAAAGTATATTGAAGTTCTTAATTCTGCTACAGTGGGTTCACAGCGGGAAGGTGCGGAGATTTCTGAATGGTGGGTGCGCAGCGGGAAGGTGCAGAGATTTCCGAATGGTGGGTGCGCAGCGGGAAGGTGCAGAGATTTCCGAATGGTGGGTGCACAGCGGGAAGGTGCAGAGATTTCCGAATGGTGGGTGCACAGCGGGAAGGTGCAGAGATTTCCGAATGGTGGGTGCACAGCGGGAAGGTGCAGAGATTTCTGAATGGTGGGTGCACAGCGGGAAGGTGCAGAGATTTCCGAATGGTGGGTGCACAGTGGGAAGGTGCGAAGGTTTCTGAATGGTGGGTGCGCAGTAGGAAGGTGCAGAGATTTGTGAATGGTGGGTGCACAGCGGGAAGGTGCAGAGATTTCTGAATGGTGGGTGCACAGTGGGAAGGTGCGAAGGTTTCTGAATGGTGGGTGCGCAGTAGGAAGGTGCAGAGATTTGTGAATGGTGGGTGCACAGTGGGAAGGTGCGAAGGTTTCTGAATGGTGGGTGCGCGGTAGGAAGGTGCAGAGACTCCTTAACCAAACGGCAAGGTGTGCTACTAACCAGAGACATCCTCAAACCCACCGGCATTAGCTCAATGACTGTGTGTGAGCCACCAACACACACACACAATACTTAGCCCCCATTCGACACAATGCCCTGCATGTCAGCCCCCCAATATACACACACAATGCCCTGCATGTCATCCCCCCAATATACACACAATGCCCTTCATGTCAGCCCCCCAATATACACACACACAATGCCCTGCATGTCAGCCCCCCAATATACACACACACAATGCCCTGCATGTCATCCCCCCCAATATACACACACAATGCCCTGCATGTCATCCCCCCCAATATACACACACAATGCCCT